GAATGAAAACTAGAACCTAAATAGGTCCTGGAACTATAAGGATGTCCATTTTAGGGGAATGCACCCCAGGAACACAAGAATTAATCACTGGCTATAGAATCTACAGAGAAGCCTTGAAGTCTTCAGGAAGGTCGCTCACCCTGGGTATCGCAGACACCAGGGGAGGACACGGGCCTCAGGACGGGCTGGCAGGGTTGCCATATGATGGGGTCGCTACCCTCACACAGGCTACAGTCAGCAGGAGTGAGAAAAACAGGGACACCCATAGCCAGACCTGACCGACAATGCTCCTCCTTTTGGCAGGAGCTTGGTTCCCCTGAAGGATCACAGGTAATCTTTACTCCCAGGGACATACCCTTTGGGAGTATTCAGAGACACCAAGGACATTTTCTCTTTTGGGCTTTTGTGCACCCCATGCTGCCTGGGAACCCTGACCATTGAGGGCTATATTTCAGAACTAGTTAAACTCTAAAGGCACGTAAAACCAGTGAACTCATTAAGAGCAGTACTTACTTAATTTGGGACAAGTCCAGGCAGTTGAATTCCTTCTCTGACCAAATGAGCCTCATCTAGGATTAAACTTGTGAAAGTTTTTAGAGAATGCACTAACACAGACTCCTCCACCCCAAGAACTAGTCCCTACTGGGACAACATTTTTATCAGCTAGTCTGTCCCTGATATTAGGTGAAAGCTCCAAAAGTTACAGTTGGGTCCTCAGGCTCTGATGCCTTAGCTGCTAGATATGGCCTATGGGGTATTTAATAACCGTGACCAGGCAGAGGAAGCCCTGAGGGACTGGCACGAAGGGGAACAAACTAAGAAACAGGCTCAACTGACAGCTCTTGCTGTCAGCAGTGCCTTGCAACCTCAGGGACAAAGAGAAGACACGACACCAGAACAACAGAGACTCCACAAGGGGTCTGCTTCAAATGTGGTAAGCCAGGCCACTGCACCCGTTCCTGCTGAGGGCAAAAGGCGAAACTGCTTGCCCCATGTCCAAACTGTGGAAAGTCAGGCCATCAGACGTGAGAATGTCCCATGTCCGATTTGGACAAAGGGGTTTCGAAACTCCAAATGGTAGCTGCAGATAGCTGACAGGGCCGGGGGTCCTTGGCTCGCATGGAAAAATTCACCATCTCAACAGAAGAGCCCCAGGTGATCCTTAACAAGGCAGGTAAGAGGGTCTAATTTTTTAATCAATAGAGGAGCCACTTGCTCTGTCTTTAAACAATTATGCTGGACTCTCATATGTTAAAAGCTGCCTGGTATTGATAAAAATCAAGTATTGATAAAAATCCCCACAGCTGGTATTTCATTAAGCCACTCAATTGCCAATCTGAACAATATTTGGTCTCACATGCCTTCTCGGTAGTCCCTGAATGCCCCCATCCTTTAACGGGACAATACGTTATAAAAGCTTGGGAGACACTTCAGCGACTAGGAACAGGCCCCAACTTTTAAATTGCTCTGGCTGAAACCTAACATTTGGGTGAAACCTAACACCCATAAATTTTCAAGCCTGAGACAGAGACATCCCAGGAAGGGCCCCCCAGGCCAAGCTGATTATTACCAGGTGCAGGTTACTAGTCTTTTGTCAGTCACACACAATACTCCTATTCTGCCTGTTATCAAACCCAACAGGACCAAATAAGTATTTTGGGGACACCAAGAATGGATGACCAACCATTAGCTAAGCGGGGAACCTGTCTAGAGTTAAACCTATCCCTCCTCCCAAGTCTTCACAGGACATCGAGGACCACAGACAACCAGAAGAGTCCAGACAGGCGAGTGAGCCCCCTTCCAAACCTAAAGTTCTTATTAAAGAAGGACAAAAAAACTTCATAAATCCAAGGCTAAGTACCTCTGGCAGCTATTTTCCTTCTGCCCCGTTACACCAGTCCGCCCACGAACTAATTACTATGCTTTGGTGAACCTGGATGCCTGTTATCCTCCTCGTGTTCCTTCTCGCCGCTCTGGAAATCCTTTCTGAGTGCTGTCTTGATTCAGCACCTTTACCGGAGAGGGCTCTGCTCTGCCCATGCTGGGTTTAAAAAGGACTGTTTGTTTTTAGCTCACCACTGCCGCTGCCACCACAAAATCGTTATTCATCCTAACCTTTCTCTCCCTCCTTGGGGTGTCTGCATTAGGGGAATAGGAACTTAATGCAACTGTAAATCTTTCAAAAATTACTCATGGCTTAATTCCTTGGGTCTCACTTTTAGGAAAGATCTGCTTACTCTGGCAATATCCAAAGCTTCCAAGGCAGGCTTTCTCTCCGCCTCTCTCTCTCTCTCTCTCTGAGGAGTCCTCTTCCATTAATGTCTTTAAATATAGAAGTTTTATTTAAAATCTTAGATTCCCGGGCTAGGTGGCAATTCCACCACTATGAAGGATTCTTAGATTCATAAGAAAAGTGGATACATCTGGGCACCACAGGCAGACACATTACTGGTCATGCCCTATATCAAAAAGAAGGATAGAAAAAGAAAAGGCAATCCCCCTACCTGGCCAACGGGGACGAATGGGCAGGGTCCCAGACCCTCTCACCTTGGAGACATCCAAGGACTAGTAAGGTCACTGAGGGGGACGCCTCCAAGGCCTAGGAAGTAGGTAACTGGTAGAAGGCGACGCCCTTGCTGTTACCAAAGCCGAGAGCAAAACTCACAGGATGTCCTGATTTTTGTGCTGTTTTCTTTTCTGTCCACTTTAGGTATAAACACCATAGGAGGTGCCCCTTCAATACCCGAGCAGTCCCTCTTAGGACGCATCCTGAAAAACTGGAAGGAATTCAACGTTGATGAGCTAAAACACAAGAAACTCGTCTTTTTCTGCAACACGTTTTGGCCTCAATACAAGTAAGGGTCAGGGAAACCTGGCTCCAAAATGGCTCTTCAAATTATGACACTATTTCACAACTGGATTTATTTTGCAGGAAACTAGAGAAATAGACTGAGGATCCTTACATGCAGGCTTTTATGATGCTATACCAAAATGCTTCATTGAAGGAATCATGTCAGATTTGTTTCACTGAACCAAAGAAAAGAGACCAAAATACCCCAGATATTTTAGATGACAACCCCAACTCCTCCTTCCCTTCCCTGGGATTGGCTAAGGCCTCTCCTTATCTAGATAATGCCCTGATAGTGGGACAATGCATGCTAGGCCAACTAAGTAATCACAGGGACCTCAGTATAACCATTTATAATCCCATTCCTGAAATAAGAGGGCAACTGGACTCATCCTGGCAAAAAAAGGAGTTGCTATTGGTTTGGCAGCTCCACGGGGCAGGGGGGAGGGGGCTTTGCCTACCACGAGGCAACACTTTATAACCTGTCAGATACTCTGTCTACCCTGGCCAGGACCAGAGGGGACTCACTCTCTAGACTCTCAACATCTCTTAATTCCCTAGCTAATGTGGTCATGGATAATAGACTGGTCTTGGATTATCTCCTAGCTGAGCAGGTAAGGATATGTGCAGTTATCAACAAAACATGTTACACCTACATCAACACCCCTGGCCAGGTGTTACAGTTTTGGAAAGGATAACCCCAGTGCCCACTCCACATGGACTGCAGTCAAAAGGATAATAACCAAAGGCACCCTTGGACCTCTGGTTGCATTAATACTTTTGCTGATTTCTGGCCCCTGCCTTTTTACTTGCTTGTTAAATTTGTTTCCTCCAGGTTGCAACAATTTGACATAAACATGATGGTCATACAGGGACTCCAGCCACTGCCTACTGCTGAGGCCTCTATGGAAATCTTGGGACTCCTTGACCAGAAAGGAGGAAAGTTTCATTCCCAGGGTCAGACAAGGGAAGACTGCCCCTGCCAGCTTGAAGAAGTTACAGAAGAATGAGACTTTTGGCCCTGAATAACCCCGAAAGATTTTGGAAAGGAACTCTTTCAGGGTGGAATTGAGGCAGGAAAGACAGGGCTGGACCCAAGGACAGCCTCCTCAAACACAGACTTTAGGCAACAGGCAAAGCCACCTCTCCTTGTTTTGCACTTAATGAGACTGTGAAGCATGGAGGAATGGCCATCAGCAACAAGAACATAAATTAAACCTTGATTAAACTTCGTGATACCTAAACAGAGAACCCTAACCAGAAAACCCACAGAGCTAGAGCTTGGCGGAGCATGAGCAATAAAGATGCACAGGCTGCGGGTGGCTGCTATACAACCTTCCACACCTGGCGCTAAGGAAAAATTTAAGGGAAAACAGCTTTCAGAAGTGCGGTGGCTTTAAAAGACCAATGGGCAAGAGAAGCTGACGTAACCAGGTGCAATCAAGATCCCACCCCAGGGGTGGTGGTCACAAAACTCCTCGGGTGCGCCCCTCACTCGCGAGGACGCCCTCATTCTTCTCTGAGTACGTACTTTCCCTTCTGCCCCTTAATAAATTGCTTCTTTGTTTCTCTCTACGCCTTAGTCTCTGTGTGTGACCTTTCTTGCGTTCACTGTCCAGATTCTTTTGGACAGGTAGAACAAGAACCTGGACCTTTAATTTAGTCTGAACAGCATCACAAGGACAGCTTCTGAGGCACAGGCTACTCAGACTACAAGGTCCGATCCCCGTACTCTCTCCGGGCACCTCCAGCTCCACCCACCTTTTCGAAGCGGTCCTGGTCCCAGGCATCATCGTAGCCCGAATAGTTACCCGGAAAGTCGGTGGTATGAACCTAGAGCAAAGAGAGACGAGCCTGTCCGCGAAGGGGCAGCGAGGCCAAGCCTGTCCCCACTCTGACCCCAACTCATCCCTGTTCCGCTCCCATTTCTCCTCCCGAGCTCAAGGCCACAAGGCTTACATTGCGAACCCCGAACTCCCCTAAAACCACGCGCCTCCGCATTTCCTCCACTGCCTGGGCCGCCGCCATCTTCAACTCCTCCACGTGACTAGGGCACCTAACTGGTGCGTGCGTCCTAGCGGCCCTCCTCCGCCTCCGTGGCAACGCATCACCTCCTGGAATCTTAGATATCGCGAGACTCTGCCCCGCCTCCGTCCACGTCTCCAGCTACCGGAAGTCAGTTTGGGCCAAACATCCGGGTTTCTCTTTTTTGCGTTCCGACGGATCCTCCTTTTTTTCTCGTCCGTGGACCTGTCCCTGCGTTAGGCCCACGTCTCTCCCACTCCTCTTCCGCGCGCGGGACTAGCGCGGGCTTCAGCGACGGGAGCCCTCGAGGGACATGGCAACTCCGGCGGCGCCGGCCGGCGGCGCCCGAAATGGGGCTGGCCCGGAATGGGGAGGGTTCGAAGAAAACATCCAGGTAATAATAGCCCCACGGCTCCGACCAGGGGCCTCAGGTTTCTGGGCCCGCTTGCTCTTGCTTTCCGCACAAGTTAGAAGGTCGGTCGGGGTCAGGCATGGCACGGGGCTGGAGTGGGCTTGTGGGTGGGCGGGATTCACTGGCCAAAACCACACTGTGTGCGCACAGCCTTGTATTGGGGTTGGGAAAGACAAAGGAAATGGGCACTTTTGTAGCCCTTTGGGGGCTTTGGTAGGGAAGGTAGGAGAAAGACGTGTATGGAAGACAGGGAATAGGTTTCCCAGTCTAGAAAAGACAGACAAACAACCAAGGGTTCTGAGAGCAAATGAGGGGGAGAGAATGGCGTGATCTATGGTAATGCCAAGCCATATCCCCTGCAGTGTAAGAACAGAGACCCAAACTCTGTGGTGAACAGAGAAGGACTTAACGGATGGAGCAGAAAGGCACTGCACTTTAGGATCTGTTGTCTTCACAGGGTGGGGGCTCAGCTGTGATTGACATGGAGAACATGGATGATACCTCAGGCTCCAGCTTCGAGGACATGGGTGAGTTGCATCAGCGCCTGCGTGAGGAAGAAGTGGATGCTGATGCAGCTGCTGCTGAAGAAGAGGATGGGGAGTTCCTGGGCATGAAGGGCTTTAAGGGACAATTGAGCCGGCAGGTGGCTGATCAGGTAAGCAAGACTGGCTCCCTGACAGGTGGAAAAGTATACCTAGGAGGCCCCTGGTTCTGGAGTTGGTGTTGGTGAAGTTCATCCCGGGTTGTCCAGTTAGAACCATGTAGACATCCAACAAAAAATAAGCAATAGAGCCAAGAGTCTCACAGTACCCTCCCACCCCACCCGTCTTCCTTGCTTCAGATGTGGCAGGCAGGGAAGAGACAAGCCTCCAGGGCCTTCAGCTTGTATGCCAACATCGACATCCTGAGACCCTACTTTGATGTGGAGCCTGCCCAGGTGCGAAGCAGGTGAGGATCCTCCTCCTGACAGAAGCTGCCCCCCTAACACCTAGTCCTTCATCCAAACTACAACCGGACACCAAACCCTTAGACTCCCCTCTTCATGACCCCAGCCACATTATACGTCTTACCAGTCACGGAACAGGGCATGGCGATAAAACATTGCCTTCCTCCTCTTCTCCATCTAGCAAACTACTCATGTTCCCTCGAAGCTTAGCTCAGATGTCACTTCCTTTGCTCCCCATTGCCAGTTTGTCCTTTCCTGGTGCTCCAATAGAGCTCTGCGCTTTCCTCGAACAGATAACACTTCAGCAGTGCTGTACTTTCTTATTTCTGGGTCTGTCTCCCCAGAGACCTCCTTTTCAAAAGCAGGCACTGTTTCACATTTTTATTCCCAGCACCGGAACAGTCTCTGAACTAGAATATCGGTACCTAGTTGTTGAATGACTTTTCAAGAGCTGGATTTAATCTTGGTTTTGTTCTTTGCTCATCCTTTAATTCAACCAATGCTTATCAAATACCTGTACCACTCAGCAAGTATTTACTGAGCTTTTGCTCTGCGTCAGGCACTACAGTAGTTGTGTCTGATTCAGTGGTGAAGATAGATGGGAGCCTTACCCTGGAGTGCAGCCCTCGAGCACTCATTTGCCATGAAGGGACACGCAGGAGGGACACCTGACCCAGGGTTGGTTGGAGGATTGGACAGGGCAGCTTTCTCAGAGGAAGTAAAATTTAGTCAAGATCCAGGGTATTATTAGGAGCTAGCTAGTCACTTAAGAAGTGGGGAAGTTATTGGTACTTTTATTCCTTCTGCCTGGAATTTTCATACCACTTCAAATATATTTTTCAAGAAAATGCTCAGGGGTGCCTGGAGGAATGATAAGCAGGACGAGGCAGGAGGCACGCTGGTTCCCTCAAGTAACAACTTTCCCTCTAAACCTTTCTCAGGGCTTTACTATCACAGCCTTGAATTTGGGGCATTCTCTGCTGAGGTTTAAAGGGGAGCAGGTCACATAGGTAGTGGGGTCCAGGCCCTCTCCCAGGGCCCAGCAGGGCTTTCTAAATTCTCCGTGTTGCTGCTGCATCAGTCAGCACAGCATCAGAAGGCTGTTCTTCCTGGAAGCATTCAGGGGCAAAAAAGTGATTTCCTCATTCCTTGTCTGTCTTTACCACCCTCTTCTCCCTTTACCATCCAGCATGTTCTCTTCAGTTAGCAAGATGACTAAGATTCAGGCTTTCCAGAACCTCACAGCCTAGTGCTGCCTCTGCTCTCATCTCTCCTCTCCCCTCCCAGGCTCCTGGAGTCCATGATCCCTATCAAGATGGTCAACTTCCCCCAGGTGAATAGCGGGTAGCATGTCTGGAAGAGCCGGGGGAGGCACTAGGGCAGAGGGTGGGGCCACCACGCAAAGCCTGGGAAGGCATAAACGGAAGAGCCACTGTACCCTCCAGCCTGAATGAGTTGGTATATTGACAGAAAATCGCAGGTGAGCTTTACGGACCTCTCATGCTTGTCTTCACGCTGGTGGCCATCCTCCTCCATGGGATGAAGACGTCTGACACCATTATCGTAAGCAGGACAGAGGACTTTGGGGGGTGGCTGATACGAGTTGAAAGCTGCCCAAGGAGACGATGGTGGAGTAAGATAGAAGCAGCCCCTGAGGAAGGCCCTGAGTGAGCTAAGAGGCCTCCCAGGACTAATTAAAGCCTTCACCCCACAGCGGGAGGGCACCCTGATGGGCACAGCCATTGGCACCTGCTTCGGCTACTGGCTGGGCGTCTCGTCCTTCATTTACTTCCTCGCCTACCTGTGCAATGCCCAGATCACCATGCTCCAGATGCTGGCACTGCTGGTAAGGAGTCCAGCATGCTGGTGGGCAAGGGTGATCTTAAAAGAGTAACCAGGCTTTGGTCTGCATCTGTCCTAGGGGCCCCAGGGCCTGGAATGGGGTGAGCTGGCCAATGGACCATTTATTTCTCAGGGTCCCCATGAGGGTCCAGAGGCCAGCCCAGCCTGAGTGATTTTCCTCTCCGCCATCCTCTTTCCTAGGGCTACGGCCTCTTTGGGCACTGCATTGTCCTGTTCATCACCTATAACATCCACCTCCATGCCCTCTTCTACCTCTTCTGGCTGCTGGTGGGTGGGCTGTCCACGCTGCGTATGGTAAGCTCGGCAGGAGGTTTCCAGGGGTGGGCTGTCCTCCGAAGGAGTAGGGAAAACAGCCCAGAGCTCAGGCCCAGTCCCACAAGGGGCTCTGAATGGGAGGGAAGAGCCCAAAGACGGTTCTGCTCTGGGTAAGAGTGGCTTCTCTACACTAGTCACTTGGATCAGGCCCTCTGAACTGTATTCCTGTTGCCCTAGGTGGCAGTGTTGGTGTCACGGACTGTAGGCCCCACACAGCGGCTGCTCCTCTGTGGCACCCTGGCTACCCTGCACATGCTTTTCCTGCTCTATCTGCATTTTGCCTACCATAAGGTGGTAGAGGGTAAGTGACAGGAGGGGTGCGGGGGAGAGGGAGGACAGCTGCCTAGGGCAGGGCCCTACCAACCCTCACTTACTTTCCATCCTCCTCCTTTCAGGGATCCTGGACACGCTGGAAGGCCCCAACATCCCACCCATGCAGAGGGTCCCCAGAGACATCCCCGCTGTGCTCCCTGCTGCTAGGCTTCCCACCACTGCGCTCAACGCCACAGCCAAGGCTGTCGCGGTGACCCTGCAGTCACACTGACCCCACCTGAGATCCTTGGCCGGCCCCCTTTCCGCCAGCTGCAAAGTGGAGGAAGACTGAAGGACAGTACTGATGACATGTGTCTCTTTGAGGGGTCTGCAGCTGCCACAGAGCTATAGCCACTTAAGCACCTCTTTGATGCCTGTCGAGCTTCTGAAGGGCACAAGGCCAGGAAGTCCTGGCCGGGACTGCAGGGCTCTGCAGCCAGTGCAGAAAGTGGGTCAGCTCCTCCGAGGTCCTCTCACCACCTACCCCTTCCTTCCTCTTTATCTCTTCCACATTGTCTTGCTAAATATAGATTTGGTAATTAAAATGTTGATTGAAGTCTGGAACTACAGCTACCCGTTCCAGTGGTCCTCCCTGCCACCCTACTTCCTGTACACTTTCCTGTTCTGTCAGTGGTGGTAATGTCACATGCTCACTTCATTATACCCCTATCCAAGCAGAATGAAAGTGGGACAGCCCAGACGGCATTGAAAGACTGAATATGGAACCTGCCCCCAGGGCAGGGAGCACAAGATCCATGCAGCATCAGGGAGGCCTCAAACTCAAGAACCATAATAAGTCTGATGGAACGGTGCACCCGGCTTAGGTCTGGGCTCAGCCTCACTCTTGGGATGCCTATGGAGCAGTGACAACTGGACAAAAACTTCCAGACTCAACACCATGTCATTACAAGGCCCTTATGCACCTGGGCCATTGTGTAGGGATAATTTTTCTGTGGAGGTGTACATTTGAAGCCAAAGTTGGCTTTGCCCTGGTTATACTGGGGCCAGGGGAACAAAGCTTTCTTCAGGAGTTCCCTCAGTCCTTTCTCTTCAAGAGTGCTATTTACTCTTAAAAGCGATAACCACCCCAAGCACAGCACCATCCTCTCCCACTACCCATTTAATCTGTTCCACTTAAGTCAGGTGGCTAATGGAGGGAACAGAATCTTTGACCTCCCTTCACTATGTTTATATTATTCATTTTTTTTAAATTCATTACCCTAGTAAATCTGGGTTAGCGTTTTTCCCTTCTAATAAAGGGACTAAGAAAGATGTGCCCTTCATTCACGCTATGTGATCCTATGTGATGTGAGTCCCCTGCACTATCACCAGTGGACAACGTTCTAAGGGCACTGCCTGTATTGTGCAGTGTGCCCTTACTGAAAGCTCCGGCCTACTTTTCACGGCCCCACAGCCACTGCAGCCTGCTCTCCTGGTACCACCCCCCTTCATTTTGGCTACTCCAGTCCCATGGATACTGAGGACGTCAGAGCATCAGCAGTGCCCTAATCACCTGGGAAAGGAGCGGCACCAGCGCGTTGCATCTACCTGCGGCTCACCTGCTTCAAGGACCCTTTGGGGTTCCACTGGGCCTGGCAGCTGAGGCCGCCTCCACGGGGCAGGGGTTTTCGCCGCCGCCACTGCGAGGCAGCCATCTTGGCGAGGGGCACGCGAGGACTTCCTCGCGCCTGGAATGCCCGCGCACGCGGCGCCTCTTGTCGCGGGGGCGGGGCGAGGCGCAAATTAAAGGGCCCTTGGGACTTCCAAACTGGACGGGGGTGGGGGGGTGGCGGGCGTCCCTGGGATCCAGGGGAAGGCACCGAGGGGTCTGGCCCTTAGGAACGGGGAACGACGAGAAAATGAGCAAAAGAACCGTGTAACTGTCTCAAATGCCGTCTCCACCTGATGTGTCTCTATTCTCCCCTCCCTACCCCCTGCCCGTCCCAGGCTTCCACCTGGCCACCTGTTGTCTGGCCCTACACCCAGGGGAAGAGCGCCCCCACTGCTCCTGAACATCGGGTGTGCGCAAACCTCGTGTGCCCGCGTGGTCTAGGCCGGGCAGGAGGCGGGGCGAGCGGCGATGACGATACCGTTGCCATGGGAACCCGCCGCCCGCTCCTGCGCAGCAGCCTGAGCCCGAGCTGCCGCCCGCCACCCGCTGCCCGCCTGCCGGCCCGCCTGCCTGCCCGCCTCGGGCTCTCCCTGCGGGGCGGTAGGGGGAGTGGGGCTGGAGGAAGGGAGGGAACAGATGCGGCCTCCGAGCGGAGACCGGTTCCGCGCGTCCTAAGCCGAGGCCCCTGAGCCGGCGCCGTAACCGCGAGGGACGAAGACCAGCGCGGAGCAGCGCCCGCCCGGCCCCGGAACGCGCGCCCCGGCTCGCCGCCCAGACACGGACGGCACGGTCCGCCCCGGCCCGAGTGCCGCGCGGTCTCAGACCGGCCGGCGACCTCGGCGCCTCCGCAATCCCGGCCGGCTCCCGCGCGGGCCCCGGCGCTCCTCTCCGCCGCCGCCGCCGCCGCCTGTGCCTCTGCCTCCCCCTCTACTCCGCTGCGTCGGCGACCCCACCCCGGACCCCGGACCCGACCCCGCCCGCGGCCCCGCCAAACTCGGCCGCGGCCCGGGCCCTGGCCCCGGAGGCCCAGCCGTGGGTACGATGCTGCCCAGCTCCATCCAGATATCGGGGGAGCCGCTGTCAGGCGCCGAAGTGCGGGACATCTGCCGCGGCCTGCGCGACAACGCCGTGCGCCTGCTCTCACTGCGCGGCTGCCGTCTTTGCGACCGCGACTTCGGCCGCATCTGCCGGGCCCTGGCCGGGGCCACGTCCCTGGCGCAGCTCAACCTTAACCTGGGCGTCGTGTCCAGCCCCAGCCGCATCAAGCAGCTGGCGGAGGCGCTGCGGACCAACCGCTCCATCCAGTCCCTCTTGTGAGTGCGCTCCCTCTAAAAGGGGTCCCGGGCACCACACCCCTCCTCGCACTCCCCCTGCCATCTCCTGTTCCTCCGCACACCTTCTGGTACCTGTGCTTGCACCAGCCTACCTTCTCACCCCTATTCACGCACCTCATTCCTCTGCCCATGCCTCCACAACACCCTCCAAGCCCCTGCCTCACCTCCAGACTTTGAACACCAGACCCACCCCAAATGATATAGGATACCCACCCCTTCCTGGCAGGACCCGTGTACCTCCCAACCTAATCACCCGCATTGACTTCTCCGGGGTAGCTTGCTCAGTACCCAAAAAGGAATACTCCCCTGAGGACTAGATCCCTGCCCCTATGTTCTGTCCAGAACACCACCCACACACCCTTTCTCTGTGTTCTGATCTGGGTCCCAGTCCCTGCCCCAGAAAAGAAACCGAATTTTCCCCTTCTAACTGCATTCTTAAGAGTCTAGAATTTTCTTTTTTCCTTCCCAAGGCCTCTCCCAAGTGCTGTGACTGAATGTCCCCCTCAGCTCTACAGCTCACCATAAGGGAGGGCGCCCCTTCCCCCTTACAGTAAGGACTGATGATTGCAGTAACCTCTGCTCTCTGGTCTCACCCCGCAGCCTGCATGGGAGCCCTCTGACAGATGCGGGGCTGGCCTTGCTGAATCCAGCTCTGGCCCTCCACCCTGCCCTCGTGGCTCTGGACCTGGGGGACTGCATGCTGGGTGATGAAGCCATCAACCTCATCTGTGGCCTTCTCCCCCCTGATGGGGCCAAGTCTGGTGAGCAGGGCCCTGCTGAGGGCATGGGCTAGTGTGGCCTTCATGAAAAGCTCAGTGCAGAGGGCAGGGGGCATGGCCTAGAGATGAGGGCTCTGACTGTGTGGGTGAGAATGTTTTTCGAATCCTTTTAGGAGGGAGAAGGATTGGGAGCTTAGCAGGATGGAGACTCAGGAATCCAAGCTGCAGTGGGCAGGAAAGGCATGGGTCGCTAATGTCTCTGGAGCTCTGTGGAGGAGGTGGGGTAGCTCTCAGTCACTAGGGATACCCCAGAGATCCCCAGGTGGGGAATGGGCTTGAGAAAGGCCTGACCCTCTCCATCCTGGCTTCTCGCTATGATGCTGCCCAGGCTTGAAGGAGCTGACGCTGAGCGCCAACCCTGGCATCACCCCTAAGGGCTGGAGCCGCCTCGCCATTGCCGTGGCCCACAGCTCCCAGGTCCGCGTCCTCAATCTGGACTACAACCCCCTGGGTGAGGCTCAAGAAAGCCCCCTTTGATTCTCACCACCCCTCACCCCTGTCCAAGAACCTGGGACCATCAGTTGCCATGGTAACCAGCACACTGGCGGAGGAAAGAAGGGAGGTTCTGGGTGGAAGTAGAGGAGCTACCTGTGTTGAGGACCAGATGACCAACAGGTAGATCAGAGCATCCATCACCACCCCTGGGCCTGGCTTGCTTCATCCATTCACTCATCAGTCACAATGCTCCCCTCCTGGCCACCTACCAGTTGCCAGCGTTTCCTGGCCTGGGGGTGGATTCTGAGGTTGTCAGGGCAATGGGGAGGCTGTGGGGAGAAAGGGTTAGCAGGCCTGTGAATGCCGGTGAGTGTGTGCACGTGTACTATCTCCCCAGGTGACCACGTGGCAGCGATGCTGGCTGTAGCTGTGGCCTCCAGCCGCACCTTAGAGGTCCTAGACTTGGAGGGTACAGGGCTCACCAACCAGTCAGCTCAGGTGAGAAGTCTTCATGTTTGGGGATGGGCCAGGGGTTGAGGTTAGCCAGTGTGTCTGTGGACATACTGAAGGGGTGGCAGGTTGGAGTCCGGAGCTGCCTTAACTGTGTTCATCATTTTCCGTACTCTTCCCCACCGCAGACCCTGCTGGACATGGTGGAAAATTACCCCACAGCTTTGCGGAGTCTGGTGTTGGCTGAGAACAGCATTAGCCCGGAGCTGCAGCAGCAGATCTGTGACCTCCTCTCTGAGGGGGAGGAGGAGGAGGAGGTGGCAGGAGGGGCTGGCGACACCCAGGAACGAGAGAGAGGGCGGGAGCCTGCTGCCCACCAGAGGGGCAGTAGCTCCTGGATGTGCCCCAGTGGTAAGAGCCGCAAGGGTTGATCAGAGTCAGGTCTGAAAGAGGCTTGGGACCAGGGAGAGTGGGTGTGAGAAACTTAGGCCACTTCTATTTGTGGTCCCCAGCGGAGGAATGCCTGGTGGTCTGAACACCTCTCTGCCCTTCCACAGATCCCAGCTCTCAGATGGTGCTAATGACGTCAGGACTAGGGGACAGTCTGTTGGCTGAGACGGAGATGTGACTCTCCATTCAGGCTTCTGCGCGTCATTACATTTGCATCTCCAGCACTTTGCCCCAGACGTCAGGGTCAGGCCCTGGGGCTTAGGAGGGTGGGGGGTTGGTGTGCCTGGGGCTCTGGCAGCTCCTGGCAGCATGGTGGGAGGCTCTGGAAGCTGTGACTAAACAAAATCGTTGGGGGCACTGGAACCCAAGGCAATGCTGGACTTGTGGGCAGCTCTGGCTGCAGCCCGCTGGCTCGGAAGAGATTTTATGAACTCGACAACCTGACGTGTGGCTCTGGTCACTGGGGGCTGGTAGCGAGGGAGGAATTGGAATTACCACTACACATCACTAGGAGGCAGTGCCACCCCACGGCCCAAGCTCCAGGCGGCGTCCACTGGCCCCAAATGTCTCAAACAGGTCTGGCTCAGGTCTCTGACTTACAGGACCTGGGGTTCTGGGGTGACACCTTACACAGGCCCTGTAAGGATCGTAACTGAGGTAAAGAGCCCCCCCGAGCTGGGCTGGACTCTACCTCAAGGAGAGACTCAGGGGCCCTGCCAGGGTTACTTGAGGTACACCCTCTCCCTCCACCTGATGCTCTGTGCACAGGGAAGCCCCAGGCAGAACAGTGGTAGGGGTCAGTCAGCAGCAAAAAGATTAGGACGTGATTAGGACTGGGAATACTCAAGAATGGGGAGAATAAGGGCAGAAGGAAGGTCATTAATAGACAAATTAGGCCATACCAGTAAAATAGTTTTATTTAATTTTAAAATAGTTATTGATGTGAAAATTTCCCAAAGCTGGGAGTTAACAGTCTAGAGCCAAGGTTGGGAGTGGGACCAGGATTCACCTAGAACCCAGCTTGAGGGCCCTGAATCCCACCCTCTACTCCCTTCCAGAGGGAGGAAGGAAACAGCTGAGGGGAGCCCTGAGTCAGTCCTCTCCCTCATCCCCCCGAGGGCCTGCTGTGCCAGGCCCTTGAAGGCAACAGCTCGTGCAGAGGATATGGGGGGAGAGGCAACAGGTGAAAACTGAAATTAGAGGTTAATAATCCCAATGACCCTCCTCCCCCCACCCCCCTGCCAGATAAAAATAGAAAACTGGAGGATATGAAGGGAGGATGGAGGATAAACACTGATGTAATAACCCCCTCAGCTCCCCAGAACAGACCAATTTGGGCCGACTGGAAGAAAGGTCATGAGCCCCAGCTGCATGTTACCTTTGGAGAATAAATATTCCAGGAGGGAAAAACCATGAGGCAAGCTGGTACCAGTTACAGTCAGTGCAGCGAAAGGCCTGGTGTAGCCTGACCCTATCTGCACAGGGAGCAGAGGCCAAGGGCTTGGGCTAGGTGGAGACCCTGAGCTGCGAGGGTTGGGGCACCTTTGCAGTCCCCGTGCAGCAGTGGCAGGAAGGCAAGCAGGGCCCTAGTTGAGCAGGTTGCCCTGCTCCTGGGCCTGGGTCAGGCTGTCCTTGCGGTGCAGGTGGTGCACCCCCATCCTCTTGGGGCTGCGCTGGGGGCGGCTGGAGCTGGGGAGTGCCCAGGCCCTGCCCTCAGTGCGAGGAGTGCCAGGCCCCTCCTCTGTGCCACCATCACTGGGCAGCAGGCTCTGGCGCTCTTCCTCGGGGCTGATGGGCAGGTTCAGCTGTTCCTCTTCCTCCTCTCTGGGAAAGCCAGGGTCAGCTTCTGTTGGCAGCAAAAGCCCACTTTCACCGGGTGGGGAAGAAGGTGCCTGCACCTCCTCATCTCTGCCAGCGGGACCAAAAGCAAAGTGGCGCTGCAGTTCAGGGAGCGCATCACGTCCAAAGGCTGTGCGCTGGGTCACAGCGGCTGGGGGCGGAGTGCGGTCCACAAATGCCCGCTGCCAGCTGGCCAGCAGGTCCTCCTCGGAGCTGGCGGAGCTGGCTGGGGCACTGAGCCCCGGGGGGGCGGGGCTGGGCTGGTGCTGCGGGGAGGCCTGGGCCGAGGCAGGGCTGCTGGGCACTGGGCTGGGGCGGGCTCGCTCACTGCCCTCCTCCACCAGGCTCAGGGAGATGGCCTGGCGGGTGGCGTAAGTGCAGTTGGGCAGGGGGCTGTTGCGGGGAATCCGCACCTTATCCTCAGAGAATTCTATCACCTTGCGGCCAGGGTACAGCGGGTGGGGTGGAGGTGGGGTGGGGTAGGGACTCAGCTTCTCAAAGGCCGGCAGGGACATCTCCTCCTCTGGGGAGCCCCCCACGGTGCCCAGAGAGCAGCACTCCCCGTTGGGTTGGGGGACGGGGCTTCCCGGAGCTGGGCAGCTGGCTGGGTCACCTGGGTCACTCCCACTCATATCCACGTGCACAAAGACATCCTCAGCCAGGGGGTGCCCGGCGCTGCCTGACTGGGCCGAATTGAGCAGAAGAGACTCCGGCTTCTCCAACACGCGGGCAATGACCGAGGTGGGCACCACAGCCCCTGGGGCCAGGCTGGGGGCAGGCCCCGGGCTGGTAGCCTCCTGACCAGTGTGCAGATGTTTCCGAACCATGTCCTGTAGCTCACAGGGCAGCTGGGGTAAAGGAGCGAGAGAAGGGAAGAGAGACGTGAATGAGCCCGGCCTAAGACGGCTTGCTTCAGGGCAGATGTGACGGCTGCCACATATAAGGCCCCCCGTGTGCTGGGCACTTTGCTATCACCTGTTCCGCAGCACACAAAGGTATATCCTCATTTCGCAGATAAATTGAGGCTCGGTAGTGGTAAAATAAGTTGAAGCTTTTGATTAACACAGCCAGGATCTGAACCCAGAACTGGTGCTAAGGCCCACATGCTCTCAAACGTCTAACTTCCCCATCTCAGTGGTAGATTCTGCCCAAACCAGACACAAGCTTGAGAATCAGTATTGACCAGAAGCCTTAGAAATACCTCCACTCCTTCTGTAGGCCCCATCAACCTTGAGCCTGAGTGCTGGGGTCTAGGGTTTGCCCCTTGGAGCAAGGGCCCCTCTCAATTATTCTTATGGCCCATACCTCTGGCAACCCCCTCCTTCCTGCATGGGATCCGGAAATTGAGATCCTCTCTCCCTGTCTCTGTTCCAGAAATACCAACAGGGCCAGTCCCCACTCTGCCCCTAGTGATGGGCCCTTGACAGCATGCAGGACACCAACCAGCGGCCGAGCTGACTGGCTTCAGAGGACACAGGGAGGTGAGGAGAAGGCAAAGCAAAAAGCAGGGAGCTGAAGGTATGAGGACAGGACAGAGAGAGGTGTAGAAACTGGAGTTGGAGGCGTCCTAACAAGGGCAGACGGGCATTGGCAGGGAGAGTGCCCCACTCACATCAGCGAACTTGTGGTTACGGAAGTGAGACTTGTTGCACTTCAGGAGCTGCACAGCCAGGTTGCAGTCCAGCCGGTACCGCTCCTGCGGACACAGATGCAGTTCAGAGCCCGGCATAGCCCAGGGGAGCAGGGCAGGGCCAGGACATGGCAGCACAGGCAGGGAGGCCCCTGAGGTGACCGTACATTGAGCTCCTCCAGCTTGTTGATGGTGTTCCTGGCGTCCAGCAGCTTGTTGGTCAGCTCCACGATCTCCCAGTCCAGTGTCTTCCTGTCCATCTCAGCCTTCTTGATCTGAGGCACAAGACTCACAGTGAACCCAGCCCACACCCAGCCAGCCCTTTCTCCCCTCCCCTCCCCCTCTTCCCGGCCCAGAGACACAGGAAGCCACGGGTGCTAGGGCAGCCAAGGCACACAGAGACAGACGATGGACAGACAGAAGGAGACCAGACACCTCTCCTGTAGTCCAGGCTGGCTGTGGGGAGGGGGCTCTCTGAGCATGACTGACAGCTGCCCAGGCCAGGACAGAGCAGTCTAAGAGCTGCCCGGCCCTGGAGGGCACTCAAGGGGCTCTACACACCAGGCGAGGCAGCTGGTACCTGAGAGGCAAGAACTGTGCAAACCCAGGGGCTGAAGCCGATGCTGCCTGTGGCTGTTTCCAGGATCAGGTTGGGAAGCGGGAGGAGGTGGGGAGTGGGGCTGCGTGGCGGCTGGGGGTGCCTGTGAGATTATCTAGTTGAGCAGGGAGGGAGCTGCAGGCTCAGAAGCAGTCTTCTGATCTTCAGCTCATGGACTGGGTCCACAGGCCCCCTTCCCCCAAATGGCCGGGGCTTGCTGCCCACTGCAGCCAAGAAGCTGTGAGCATTCGGTGGTGACATCAATCAGTAACTCTGCCCAAGCCAAGAACAGGCTCCCCAGCTGTCCCCCAGGAGGGAGGCACTGACTGCTGAACAGGCCTCACATGAGGAAGAGGAAAGGAGTGGCCAGAGGGCAATGGCCGGGCCCCAGCAATCCCAGATCTCAGCTGAGGAGGAGGCGAGGGCAAGGGAGAAAACACACAAACTCAGACGCAACTGCAAAAATCCAGCTGTGGCTAAGAGAGGCCTGAGAGGAGAGTGCGGCAGCAACGGTGGCAGCATGAGGGAAGACGAGGAGAGAAGAGAAACAGTGTGAGCATTAAGACAGTCCTGACTCTCACAGCACACTGCGGGCCCCTCCCCACCACGGCCCACCCCCTCCCCGAGCCCAGGGCAGGATGGCAGTCCCCTGGCAAGTCCCAGCCCCTGCTATCCTGTGAGCACAGCGCCAGCCAAGCTGCCCTCCTGGACAGATTACCAGCGTATGCAGCTTGTCCTCTAGCTCCTGGTTGGTCCTCTGGGAAGCTGTGTAACTGTGCTGCAGCCTGTAGAGGGACACAAGGCAGACCCCTGGATCAAGATCCTGTTCTTCAGACCCTGCTCATCCCCTCCTTCATAAGGGATCTTGGGCAAGTGCCCCTCCCAGAACTTCAGTTTTCGCATCAGAATCAGATGATCTCTGAAGCCTCTCCGGGCTCCCTCCTATGAACAGGGAGATGCGTGCATGTGTGTCCCGGCCCCTTGTTCCCACACCTGCGGAACTTGTCCTTAAATTTGTCCAGCTCCTCACGGCTCTGGCCCAGCTCCAGCTCCAGGCAGTCCTGCCCAATCTCCAGCTCGCGCTCCAGGGCCTCAGTGCGCCTGGTGGCCGAGGCCAGGCGCCGGCGAAGCTCCTCATTCTCCTGCTGCAAAAGCCTGGTAGGGTGAGGGGTCAAGGGCAGAGGGGCATCAGAGATAGAAGGGCCACCCCAGAGTTCCAGGATGGATTCAGGAAGGAAGGAGTAGGGGTGACGTGAGAACAGGTAGCTGTGGGCAGGGGACTCCTTGAGATTCAGCCTGAGTCTGGGGCAGCGTATCCCATAGGCCTGCTGGCCCTGAGATCACAGCTTGGCTGGGAGGGGCAGAGGGGATGGGAGAGGACAGTCTGCCCCCCTCACTGCAGAAGAATGAGAAGACAGAATTGCAGGGGCTACAGTTCCCAGTCTGTCTCTGGTTACAGCCCAAGCCAGCTGGCCAGCAAGCCACCAGCTCCAGTTTCCCCACTGCACAATCAGGCTGCTCCATTATTCATCTTTTAGAAACCCAGCCCAGTGCTGCCCTCCTCTGCAGAGGCCTCATGTAGCTGACAGAAAGGGCTGCGGGGAGGCAGCTGGCACAGGAGGGCCAGGAGCTGGGGAAGGGAGCTTTGGCAAGAGCAGGCCTCTCAGAGCCATCCACCTCCTTGCTGCCAGATCCTCTTGGAGCCCATGGAATAAACCTCTTTTTCCAGAAGGAATATCCCAAACTTCAAGCCTCCTCCCAGAGTCCCTAAAACACCCCACCCCAACCTTTACCTCTACCTAATCCAAGGAAAAGCCCAAATGAAACAACAGCCTCGCCTGCAGCTAAGAGGGGCAGAGTTGAGGCAGGGCAGGCTCTCGGGCAGCAGATACTCACTTCATCCTCTCCGTGTCAGTCAGGGGCTCCTGGGCACAAAAGAACAGAAGCTTGAGGCTCAGCTCTGGACCACTGGCCTCCTGCTTGTTCCCCACCCCCTCCAAATAGCCCTGGAAATGGCCATGTCTGAAGCCCAGAGACACTCACAGCAGAAGCGGGCTGCGGGGCCCCACAGATAGAGGCAATCCAGTAACACCTGGACCAGCCTACTCTCTCCCATGCCAACCAGATTCCAACCCTCACCCTTATCCATACTAGCTCCAACCCCTCTTAATACTAGAGCCAACTGCAAATGAGCCCTGGTACCCATGCTACCTCTCCCAGGGCTAAAGAGAGCCTCTCAGCTGTTCACTGGGCTCCTAGTGGGCCCTGCAGGCACAGCCAAGACTTTCCAGAGAAGTGATGAAGCCAGGCGAGCTAGAGTAGGGTTCTGAGCTCTGCCAAAGCCCTTCTGGCCCCCAGGGCAGAATCAGGCCCTCACAGAGGCTTGGGAAGCACAAGCACGTGGGGGAAGGAGAGCCTCTGGGCTAAACCTGACTGAGACAAGTAAAGCGTCCTCTGCTTTCACCCTCCTGCCGCATCCTCCTCAAGCCTCCACGTTGGTCACGAGCCAGAGCTCCGCCAAGCACAAAGCAGAGCAGACCCGTGCTATGACAGGAGGGAAACGTCAAGCAGCATCTGATTGGCCTGACTGCCTCAGGATGCCAATCACAGGCAGGACAACGAGGTGGGTGGCCCAGACCATGGACTTGGGAGCCACTGACACCTGGATTGATCCTGTTGTACCATACCCTGGTTATGTTAATCTTGCTGAACCCTAGTGGCCTCATCTACAAAACCAGGGGAATGCCCAGGGGGTGGCACCTAGCACAATATCTGGCCTTTTAATTTAATGTTTCCTGAACTGAAAATGGGCAAGTCATGGGTGGCATTTCTGCCGTGAATGTGACCAGAGTGGGCCATGGTATGCCTGATGCTCGGCACGTGCTGGCCATCTCTCAAGTTCTTTAAATGTGTTTCACGCACTGCAACAGGATAGAGACATGGAAGCAAGATGAATAAACTGCAGCACTCGTTTCCTCCTGCAGTAAGCTGAACGAGGGAGGAAAACCGACCTGGAGAATGCTTTGCAGTTGCCTGAAGAAGCCCTCCTAAGAATCTAATGCAGTTCCGAGCAGGGAGCACGTATTTGATAAGTGTCAGCCAGAAAAAGGATAGCTGGAGGAGGGCCTGACTTTCAGGGACAGCAAAGAACGGCTAGTCTTGGGGAAGTCGCTGGAGCACTGCTTGCTAATGGCCCCCAGAGGGGCTGCAAGTTGAATGGCTCTGCTCCACCAGTGGAGGACCAGAGTCCTGGCCTCCGGGCAGGTTAGCACCCCTCTATCGGGTGGGCTGCCTCTTGCACGAAAAACAATACTGCATGGGATCACTTCTGCTGAGCTACATGTCCTGGACACATAGACGTGTGTCACAGCTGTCCCCTATGAGTCTACATGGCTGCCACCAGCACTGCTGCAACTGAGAGCCCAAGTGTGTACCAGGAATGCCACACCCTCACCCCAACTGGTGGGACCAGATGTGCCCTCAGGACAGCCAGAACCCCGCCTCAGGGGCCTGCATCTGCCAGCCAGGGCAGGGGCACCACTCTTGCTGACCTCCTGCTCGAGCTGGGAGCCAGGAACTTCCAGCCGCAGCTCCCGATGCTCAGGTGGTGCCTTCCGGTAGGGTTTCTTAGCAGGGGCTGCACTGGTCATTCTGGGAGGTGAGAGCTCCTCAACCTGCTGAGGGGAACAAGGAAGGAGGCTCAGAGATGTGGCAAGAGGCCTCTGAACTGAGAAAAAAAAGAGGACATGTAGGAGCCACCAGGCAGGCAGACAGGCCTGGGCTGCTGCTGGGGTCATTCGAAGGGCTGGACTCTGGTGTGTCAGTGCCCATGGGTCAGGGGCGTGCTGGATGGGGGCCCGGGTCCAGGGGGAACAGATGAGAGGAAGCCAGGGTCCAGGGACTGGGTGCAGGGAGTATGGATTGGGCCCAAGGAGCAGCCCACCCCTTGCCCCTGTGGGCTCGGAAAGCAGCCTCAGAGAAAAAGCTGCTCTCCAAGCACCAGTTTCCTCAACTCTAAACTGGGTTGAGAATGCCACCAATTTCACAGGGTTGTTTTAACGATTATGTAAAGCACTAACAACGGTAGCTGGCACTCAGGAAATGTTCGATAAATGTTAGCTTTAAAAAAAATCGTAACCAGAAAGTAAGGGTTTGAGATGCGTTCCCAACCTGAGCTCCTCCAGGGGGTCACCAAGCTTAAGGGCCTTCAAGGTCAAGCCTCTCTGGCCTCCACCACTCTTTTCACCAGCCCCCACCAAGAAGGGCTGCCTGCTGCCGCCTCACCTGCCAGCCTCCCCAGGAGGGAACCCAGTGGGGGGTGCAGGCCTCACCAGGAACATACCGTCCGTCTGTCGGCAGCTCTCTCTGTTCTGCTGTCCAGGAGTCAGCCCTCGGCTCTCCACATCCCACAGCCCCGCCACTTCCTCTAGCCAATAGCTCCTGAAACCAGAGAAGGGAAGAAAGTGGAAACCAGGTGTCAGCCACCTGTCTGTCAGTACCCGCCAGGGAGAGCTGGACAAGAGTGGAAGCACTGGGCTCCCCATGAAAGCTCTGTCCAGGCCCAGAGGAGACACATGTGTGTCTGTGTGTGTGTTCATGGTCTCAGCTTATCACGTGCCTGATTCCGGGATAGGTCTGGTCCTGTCTTGTCCCTATCCTACCTCACATCTGTCCTGTTCATCTCCCGGGCCTCTCAGAGTCTAGAAACAGCTAAGAGATTTGGGGGACAAGGGTTGCAGAAGAGAACAGCAGAAAAAAGCCTAATAGAGGCTCAAGAAGACGCTGGGGGAAAAAGCTCCTGGCAATGTTTCCAGAAGGAGCCCAAACACCTAGTTCTGTGAACAATGGTGGCGAACAGACTGTGTGATGAGGAGGGGTAGGTCCAGGAGAAAAGCAGAAAAAGGAGCATTTTAGAGCAATGATGGTTCTCAACCAGGGTGATTTTGGTCTCCCCGCCCCCTCCTCCCCCGACCCCTGATATCTGGCAAACGTCTGAAGACATTTTTGGTTGTCACACCAGGGGTGAGTGGTACTGGCATCTAGTGGGTAGAGGCCAGGGGTGCTCCTAAACATCCTATAAGGCACAATACAGCCTCCCACGACAAAGAATTATCAGCACAAAATGTCGATAGTGCCTAGGCTGCAAAACCCTGTGTAGAAAGCCCCAGTCTGGGGAGCTGAGACGCCTGGCTTCTGGGCTCAGTGGTGTGTCTGACACACAGTGTGGCCCTGGGTAGGTCCTTTCCTCACTGGATAAATCTGTCATCTGCACAGCGGTGGCTGGACTGAGTGACCTCTGAGGTCCCCTCCAGGTTCTTGGGGTTCTGACCTCTCCCCCACCTGTAATGAGCTGGGCTGCAGCATGGGGGCAGCAGCCACCACAGGGACCAATGGAGGCAGTAACCTCAGGTGGCCTTCTGGGCATAAACAATCTCGTGGCCGCCATCCACCTCACCAGAGCTGGGGCTGAGGGAAGCCTTGCGGGCTAAAGCGTGTGTTCCTGCTGCTGGGACATGCTCTGGCCACGACTCCTGTCATATTCCAACAGGGCCTGAGGCAGGAAGCACGGTGAGGGGGCGGGGAGGGCAGGAAGCAGGAGTGGCCTCCCTCCTCTGTCTGGGCAGCCTGGCCTCTGGTGTGGGGTTGTGGGGCTTGGCAGCAGGCACGAGCCGCCACCCCAGCCCTTTGATAGTGAGGCAGAGTGGATCCCCACAGGGCACTTGCAGCAGGCCGTGTCAGGCTGACTCCACCCACAGGAATCCGGGCAGGCCTGAAGGGACAGCACATTCCTGAGGTGTAGTCACCCCTACAGGTTCCCCAGGGCTACCCTTCCGGTGGGACCCTGGGTGGGAGCTCCTCCGGCCCAGGGGAAAGGCCCAAAAAGTCCCAAGCCAGCCTGGGCACCTGGGTTCTGATCGTCAGGGGGTCTCAGCGTGGGGGTGTATATGAGTTACAAAAGAGGAAAGAGCCAGAGCTGCAGGAGTAAGAGATACAGGTAGCCAAGAGCTCCCGGGAAATCCAGAGCTGGCTTCTGCCTTCTCCCCTTCTCTGCGGAGAAGTCAGGTCCCTCCTCCCTTCCCCACCTGCTCCCCACTCAGCTCAGTAGCCCTTTCTCCTTGCAGGCCCCTTTATATATACCCCCTCTATTCTCAGCCTCTTGTCTTCCCTATTCCTGCCAATGCCCACGCTGTCCTCTAGGTACTGGGACACCTGTGTGGGCGGTGGGTGGGCAGGGAGGACACTGACAGGCCCAGGTAACTGGTCATTCTACCTGTGAGGAGAGAGCGGTCTCACTCCATACCCTGCTGGCCCAGCTCTAACCATCACATGTCCTACAAGCTCATCCTGCCTCATCTTGACCTCACGGCCCCACAGCACATATTCCCAGGCTTTCATGGCAAGATAATCTGGCTTGCTGAGGGGACAGACAGTGTGGATGTGGCTGGCAGTGAGATGGATCGTAAGTGCAGGCTCGGGCTATGGGATGAATGGTAGTGGTGATGGGAGGTTCTCTCTCCCAGCCAGAGAAAACTCTTTTCGTATGTGTCAGAGTCACAGGGAGGGAAATGACTCCCAACTGGGGAAGCAGAAGACAATGCCCACTAGCGAGACAGTCGACCAGGGAGCCTGCAGTGACCCCAACACAAGTCCATGAGGAAAAGTCCGTGCCGCCCCCTGCCCCATGTCCATAAATTCCAGTGCTTGTTGGGGCCCTGGCTCCAACTCCTGAGATCTGCTAAGCACCCCAGATCCAGCCCATAGGGGACCACAATTCCAGTACTGAACAGGGACTCGATGCGCCTGGCAGGCTGCTGTCCCTCACTGGAAGCACTGCAGGGAAGGTCAGACCCAGGAGTGAGAGCAATGCCAGGTGCACTGCAGAACAAAGTAAGAAGCAGCTGAACAGCAGGTCCACAAGCTGGGAGAAGAGGAAAGATGAGCTGGAAGGCAGCAGAGTGGTCCCTCCAGGAAGACCCAGCTACTAGATGCAGCCTCCACTGGCCAGATCTCCTTCACCTCAAGATTCCCAGGTTGCTTTGGAGTGCTGCAGCCCAAGGAGGACTCCCAATGCCATGTCAAGAAGAAGAGGCCCCCAGGGAAAGCTGGACAACTCAGAATGTGCCATGCGCCACCAGGAGCAAACAAGGCCTTTTGGGTCCTCTTGGCCTCTGGATGCTGAGCTGGCTCCAGGGCACCTCCGAGAAAAGAGTCTTCTAGAAGTTCTAGAAATTGACAGGGAAGAATCCCACTCCCATCCCTCACCACAAACTACCTGAGCTTCAAGGAATTGGACGCAGATGACTCAGGATGTGGGGTACCAGATCACATGCTGGGTTTGTACTACAAGAACAGCTGTGCTCTGGGAGAAAGGCTGAAGCCTAAGTTAAAACCCCTGGCTGACCCAGTCTGGTCTGCAGCTCCTCAGGCTGGACCTGCAGGCACGACTGAGGAAGACACCCAGAGCAGCAGTAAACCCTCCCATCTCGTGGAGGTGAGGTGAGAAAGGAAAGCAGCTCTCCTCACTGCCCCCACCCCACCTAACTCCTCCTCCTCCTTCCTCTCCTGCATAGTATTCATTCTTCAGTTACTCAGAATCAGTTCAGAGGACAGACTCAACCCCCTATCTGCTGGGGCGGAGGTAGCTTCGTAATTGTCATGTTGCAATCTGCCAGTCAGCTCAGGCCGCCTGTTACCGCCTGCCCTGCATGAAATACCTTCTCTCTGATTACAGCCCACGGGGCACGATTAGCTACCTCCAGAGAACAAAGTCTACTTTCATTAGAAATGGGACTCGGCACACAGGGAACCTGCACTGTGAACCCACTGAACAGCTGAGCAGAGCATGTATCAGAGACAGATACAAGGAGCAATGTGTGCCAGGAGCTGGCTGAGCAGTGTCCTTTAATCAAAGGACAAAACATCTGCCAAGCATCTCTCTCAAACCAGGAGATGGGACTCCTATCCACTCCCCTTCGTGGATACGGAGAGTGTGGGTATGTGACCTGGGGCCTCCATCGAGGTCAGGGACGCTGCTGGAGGCGAAGTAGGATGAGGAGAAACCTCTTCAGAATTCAGATTATCTCCAAACCACTATCCTCTCTCCCATTCCCTGCAAACACCCACAGAGGCAACAGCAAAAGGTTCAATTCCAAGAGCCAAGGATGCCCTGTTACTTCCCTCTGCCATCCTTTCTGTGGGTCTGCCCAAGGGCAAAGTCACCAGTGCAGGAGAGGAAGGGAGGTCCCAGCATCCAGCTTTCTCTCTGCTCAGGGCTCAGAGGCTACCCCCTCAACACTGGCCCAGCAGAGGGAGACAGGATTGAATCCAAAATAGGTCTGGCTCTTTGGCTTTTCAAACTCTGCCCTCCCCCACTGGAGGTCTCCTCTAGCTCCCAAGCTCTGCACTACCCTGTCCACCGGCCCAGTTCAGCTGCCTGCCCAGAGACACCGCCTGCTTCCCCAGCTCCCCACATCACCCACACTCTCTTCAAGAAATTAGGGTCCCAACAGTTCCTCTGGGCTCAGACCATTTCTGAACTTACTAATGTCTCTCTGCTCCCAGCCGTCACTGAATCAAGCAAGTGAAGGACCTCAAGGGGCCAATAAACCCAACCTTCTGCATCAGGGAAGGCACACACCTCACCACAAAAACCATTAAAGCTCTTCTTTCGTAATTCACCCAAAGAAAGTCAAATGGACGTTAGCAATCACTGCTGCTTTTAAAATGAAAGGAAAACGGCCCCTTTTCTGAATACTCCAGCTGTGCTGTATGGTACCTTAACCCAGCAGGATATAAATAAATAATAAAAACAAATCTGGGCCCTTCCTGAAGCCCCTAATCAACCGCTAAACAGGAACATCTGATCACAGGGACTAGCGCCTCCCCTGCGGAAATCGTCCTCAGCTGTGAGCCCTGATGTAGTCTCTGAACACTACAGGCCTGGAGGAAGCTGCACCTCTCAGGGCAGGACATACTCCTGCCGTACATATCTAGCTGCTTCTCAAGCCTCTGAAATCCAGGCTCTGCCTCCAGCTGAGGCCCAAGAAACACAAACCACCACCCTACAAGGGCCAGCCCTATAACCAGCAGGGGCCCCTGAGCTTGCCCACAAGGACCGCCCCCCCTCCCAGTCAGTATGGCTCCTCTCCACCTCGACTGTCAGTGAACAGCCGCACAGTGAGCCGATCCGACCAAAGCAGGCTGGGTTCAGCCTTCCCCACACCAGGCCCCCAGTTTCCGGCACAGCTGTTCCTGAGATACCTAAGCAAAGCCCTCAGCGATGCTGGGCGCGTGGCAGGCAAGCAGCCAGCAGAGCACAGGTGGGGCCCAGGCAGGCTCTGCTCTGGGCTGATGACAAGGCTGGAAGATGCCAGTCTGTGCCCAGACCAGCCCTGCTGCCCCTCCCCCAGGCAGGCCTGTCACCCCTCGGGGCAAGTTCAACCTCACCCTCTTGGGGCATGCTGCCTGCGGCCCTGACCTGGCCCCCTGCCCGCTCTAAGCAGAACAGACTGACAGGTTTTTAAAAGCCAGAATGGGTGGGAATTATTGTGCCCCAAAGTCATCCTGAGGCCTCAGAACTAGTGCTGGTGACCTGTGAAAGCTCACCTGGATCCCCACCTGAGCAAATACCTCAAGTCTATCCACCTGGCCTCTCATTCAAGCAAACACTTGACAGGAACAAAGGGGCTGAAGACTACTGATGGTGATGATCCAAGCAAACCAACCCCCACCCAAAGGGAGGGCCAAAAAATCCCCAGGATCATAAGCAGCACTTGACCTTAGTCCCCATGCCCGCTCCTAAGGAAGCGCAAAGCGAGGGTGGCCCTGAATCAGCCCTCCACTCCACGCTCCTTCTGCTCTCCTGGTCACAGCCAAGCCATAAAGCCCTCCAGCTTGCTACCTCCCTACTCAGGGTCCCTACACGTCCACGCAGCACCTACCCCCTCTCTCATTTACACACTTACACCTCATGGTCACAGGCAGCTCCCTGCCATCTCCCTCCTGGCTCAAGGGAAACAGAATCCACTTAGAGGACCTCCAGGTCTCAAGTTCCCCCATCCAGCCCACCCCACCCTGCACTGCCTCCAGAGGCTGGAGACAGTGTCTGTCTACAGAGTTACCCGTGCAGAACACCAGGGAGCCCCGAGCAATCGGCCTTCCTGCTACCTCTGGACCGCCCTTCTCCTTTCCAAGCCTGGAGGGAGGTGGGAGCTTGTCGGGGGCTTCTCCATGGCAAGCTGAGGCCAAGGCCTCTCCTAGGCCCACTGTGGAGTCCAAAGCCAGGTCCTTCCCCCTCTGGCTGAGCCACCCTTCCCAGCTCTTTTAGGTTAAAGTCCCCGTGAAGCTCCAGACGTGGAAGGTGGTGGGCGGACTAACTCCACCCACTCCACCTCCCAGAGCCACGGTCACCAATGGGAGCTACATCTCTGGTTCTGGGCTCCAGCTTTCAGTTTAAGTAGTTTCACTCTTCTGCCCAGGCAATTTCCCACAGCCAGGCCAAGGTTTTTCTCAACTTCCCCACCCCCAAGAAGAACCTGCAATTGATCCTAAATTCAATTCGTACCCTGGGATGAGAATAATGGCGACAGCATCTTCCCCTCTTTTTTTTTTTTGGCCCCGCCGCAGGCCTTGTAGGATCTTAGTCCCCGGACCAGGGAATAAACCCAGGCCACGGCAGGGAAAGCGCCGAGTCCTAACCACTGAACCACCAGGGAATCCCCACCATCTTCCCCTGTTGATAAAGGGAGGAAACTATCCGGTCTAGCAGAAAATTCCCTTCCTACTCTCGTTCCATCTGTCTCTGAGGCGTGAAACCAACAGTATGGTAACTGAGAGATGTTCTCAAACTCCACGGTGCTAAAAGCAGATTAAACAGAAATGCTAACCATTCTGTTTTAAGGGAGAACTGATAGCCATGGTACTAACTAAAGGGAGAAGGAGGGGCAGAGTCCAGCAGCAGATGGGCAGATGCCCATGCACAGCCCCACCCACAGCAAGGAGACTGGGAAAATGGAGGGAACTCAGTAGTAAGGACAAGCGAGCAGAGGAGATGGCATGATGTAAGCAACGGGGAGAAGGCACAGGCCAGGGGGAGGAAGGGAGAAGAGAGGCATGGCTGGCGGCACCCTCAGCTGGCCCAGGTCAGACTCACAGGGTTAGTGTCTTCTCCCAACCAGCCAGCTCTCCCGGTTAGCACGGTTAGCGACAGACTCGTGGCAGACGCCCTGCAGGCGCTCCGTACAGACAGACAGCTTGGTCTGTGAGCAGCCCAACTCCGGAGCTGCAAAGAGAGAGCAGAAGGATTGCCAAGCTGCAGGATGCCTGAGGGTGCACACTGCACTCTCCTGACAGGGACACTCCCCCAGACTTACCACCAGACCCTCAGGGGCTTTCTCCACTCTAGAAAGCATGCCTCCTGAAAGTATAGCAGTGAGCCCAGCTCATGACCCCAGGGATGGTCAACAGAAAGAGAGGACTGCCGTTTTGGAACGGGGCACTGCTACCAGGGGGAAGCTCCCCTGTCTTACCTATTCCCAGAACATTGCTGCCAGGCTGCACCAGAGCCCTGAAAGCTGCTTGTAAGAACAAAGCCACCCACAGCTGCAGCTGCCACCTAGCCCAGGCCTGTGCCAGCAGAGTTCACCCCACCACCTCCCACGGGCTCCAAGGAAAGGGGCTGGGAGAGAACTGGCCCAGGGACCGGAGGCTGCAACAAGAGCTGCATGGAAAGCCCAGTACAATGGGGCAGTGTGCACCCCAGCCAGCTGAGCCAGTCAAAGGAACGGGTGACACACTGCCACCTTTCAGTTTCTGAAAGGGCCAGGGAATGATGCTTCCCAGTGAGCTGGCGCCAGAGGAACCCACAGAGCAAGGATAAGGGCTATGCTACAGCCAGGCTCCCCAGACCCTGAGAGGGACTACCTCACCCCCTCAGAATGAGCAATGCCCAGAAAGGCTAGCGTTCCCACACAGCTAGCCCAAGGAACACTCTTTCCTGAAAGCCTCCAGAACCACCTAGGGGAAGCGACACACCCCGGCTTTGAGATCTCAAGGCAAATGTGCCACAGCAGTGGAGTCCCAGAGACCCCCACCCAAGATGTGACCCCTGGGTCAGCAGGACAGGAAAGCCCTTCTGTCTGAAAGGCCTGCAGATGATGAGATGACTCGGGGAAGGAAGGGAAGAACAGAGACCACCCTGGCCCCACATATGGGCCTGGCCTTCTCCCAAGCCCAGGCCAACAATAAACACAGGCAGGAGAAGCCTCCGACAGGCTTCCCAACTGCCTCCTCACTGGGCTCCCCGCATCGCTCTGACAGCCCCAGAGGTCAAAAGGCCATGAAGGGTGAGATAACCATCTAGCAGAGAAGATGACAACTCTTCCTGTGGGCTCTGACCTCTTCGCTGGACTGGCAAGGAAGCATGGCCATGGGCAGGCTACCTTCCGAATCCTCACCACACACACACACAAATAAATAAATAAACACCAGCTGGGTCTGGTTTGCTTTTGAAAGGTAGAGCAGCAAGTGACCTGGCTAATCCAAGGTTTCAGGAACTAGAGGAGACTCTCTCTGCACTAAAACAGGGGTTGAGAAATCAGGTAATTCTACTCCCTTCCCAGCCAAAGATGAAAGAGGAGTGAAGGAGAGAAACACGTGAGGCGAGAGTGTTGATGCCCGCATCACGCTTGCACCCACCCTGGTTCCCACTCAAGGGCACTCCTGCCAGAAAATTTCATCCCAGAATAAAAGACAATCCCTCAGAGATAAGCAGGGTGCCCGCTGTGGCAAGAGCCTCCAGGAAAGTTGGTCCATCCTCCCAAGGAGCCAGCCCCCAGGAACGCACCAGGCTGGGCAGGAGGCTGCAACCAGGCTCCTCAAAGGCTCCAACAGGGAGGGACTCACTCCCACCCTCACCCCCTGGGGGTTAACTGTTAGGAGGGCAGAGCAAGCTGAAGAACAGTATGTATTACTATCGAGTTTTGTTTATTTTACAGGCGATACACGATGGGGAATGTCTGGAAGGACACAAAAATGATTAGAAAGATACATGATAAACGGTTAACAGTAGTTCCCTATCTTTGGGAAAAGGCTTAGACAGGAGCAGTGGGGGAAGAAAGGAAAGGTCTTTTTACTTTACTTTTAATTTTGTATACTTTTCTGTATGGTTGGTATTTTAAACGAGGACATACATTATGTTTATGATGAAAACATAGAGCTCCTCAACAAACGGACAAAATCCCTCCATCTGTATTGTGCTTTACCATTCTGGAAGTGCTGTCCCTTCCATTATATTTCCTTTGATCCTTATAGCCTAGTGAGGCCCACGGAACAAGTGGAGTTCTCCCATTTTGAAGCGACAGAGAGGACAAGTGACCTGCCCAAGGCCACAGACACACTGGGACAGAACCCTCCATATCCAATTCCAGTGCAAAGCCTGGAAAGCTGTCTTCTCCAGGGAGCCACAGGAAAGCGACTACAATTCTGCCCTAATTAAAGACCCTCAAAGACTTCTGAGATTGAATTCCCCACTTGGCTTACCTGGGAAGGTGCAAAGAGGCCACTGCTCAGTACCCAAGGCGATAAGCACAGAGTTCTATCTCTCTGGTTGGCTGAGTGGAAGCACAGGGCTCTCGGTCTAGGCTGACTTCCCAAAAAGCAGTCCCTACCCTCAGGGAGATCCCTGCCACAGTTTACTGTGAGAGCACAGAAGCTCTTCACAAATAGGAGGCCATGTCCTTTATAGATTCCAAATGTCACCTAGTAGACAGTTAGCACTTACGAGATAGACCAAGCAAAGTTCTCACTCTTCTACTCATGGACTCAGTCCCTCTGAAGTCTAAAAGCACACAACACAATCCAGTCCAGCTGGCTCACCCAATCTCCTCTCAAATCTGCTTAACATACAATGCAGCTTATTACTCCTGCCAAGATGCCATCAGGAAGATATGCCACATTGCAGTATGCACCCCACACCAAGGGATGAGGAGTAGAGCCCGGGGAAAACTCCTTCGATCCACTTCTGCCTGCTGGTTTCATCCTTTTAGTTCATCTAGGCACTAACAAGGCTGTAGTAAGTCCTGGTTGTGAGCATTGAGCCCACCAAAACAGGACCAGTGATACAACAGAAAAGCAAGCAGGTTACAGTGGGCACTAAAAGGAGCTTAATGAATAACAAAGAGGATGCCAGCAACCAAAAACCTTTTAGAAGATGCTAATTAAGCAAGAAAATACACCTGTGTGTACTTCGATTCCTCTTTTAACTCCTTCCTGCTGGCTTAGGGATGTGTGATTAGAACATAAGGCTGAGAAGGGAGACAGCTGAAGCCAAGCACCTGGAAGATCATTTAACCACATTAACTCAACCCTGGAAAATAATTAGTAATGCGATTGTTAATACTATCACCGTTTGTTTATGCAGGACCTTCCTTCCTGAGGGTTCAAAAAGCTTTGCCAGATAGATCTTATCTGCTTTAGTCTGAGGAAGGACTGGGTTGGGTCACACAGGAACCAGAGCTGCTCAGCACCTACTATGTACAGTCTAACTAAACGCTCAGCCTTCAATAAATGACCTTGCCCCTAAGAAGCTTCAAAGAAAGATCTTGCCCCTAGATGGGGAGAGACAGGTTAACTGCCCCCCTGCATCATAGTGTGATGAGTGCTCTCAGAGCAAAGAGGAGAGGCACCTGGCTGGGGCAGGGGTTTAAGGACCAGACAAAAAGGTTGCCCTCCCGAGAACCCAGACAAATCTTCCTCTGATTGTAAACTCACACTGGAGCACCACCTGGCATTATACAATTAAGAGGTCTAGACTTCTGGAAACAAATTCCTTTGGTGTTTGTTCAGAACTGGTGCCCGAAGAACTACTCCCATCAACGATACCAAAAACAAAAAGGCAAAGAATGGACAGCGACCCTTAGCTTCCACCCCATTTCTGGGGAGCACCTGAGTTAAGCCTGTTCTGTGGCACAAGAAGATCATCGAAGCCGTAAGAAAACTGGGACAAGAAGTCTGGCTTCCTCAATGCCTAGATGTGTTCCATCAGCTTCACCCAACATTTTTCAGTCTACAAAACACCGGGGAATATGGATCATCAAACATGCCATCCAGTCATCCCCAGCCTTAACTATTGGATTGACCAAAAAGTTCGTTCGGCTTTTTCTGTACCATCTTACAAATCCACCACCTACCCGCCCCCACCTGTACCCACCAAGGTCATCATCAATCTCGCATGCATGTCACAGTCCATCAAAGGAGTTGTTTCAACATAACAGATGGGGAGAAGGCTGAACAATCTTATTTTGCACACTGATGCTGTACCCAATCTCACCTCTTTTGTTGCTTCATCACAAAAAAGGAGACTCTCTCAATTTTACTCCCATCTCAGAAATGTTCCTGGCTACCTGGCAAAAATCAAAAGGCTTACTCTACCTTGAATAAAAACAAAGCCTTTTCTTATCCACTGAGTTTTCCAAAGTGGGATTCATTCATTTAACAAATATTTACTGAGTATCCTTCATATGCCAGGCACCTTGCTACAGGCTGTGTACTCATTATCTCTAATGCTCAATACTCTTGCAAAAAAGGTAATGTCACCTTCACTTTATAGGGGACAAGACCAGTGATCCTACTGGTTAAGCAACTTGCCCAAAGTCGCACAGCTGGTAAGGGGCAGAGTCGGGATTAAAACCCAGCTCCAAAATCAGACTCTATCTACCACATTGCTCACCCCACTTCCAACTCCCCTCACCCCCACCCTCCCAGTCTCCCCTATCTCCCCACCCCCACCCCATGATCACGGAGGGTGCCTCCTCTACAGGGTCAGCTCAGTGAAAGAGACAGACAGGTAAACAGAGGACTCACCACACAACACGGTAAGTGCCAGGACAGAGGTTCAAAGTGCTGTGGGGACCAAGAGGAAGAAAGGAAAGCAGGGAAGTCTTCTCATCGGAGGAGACAGAGAAGCTGGGTCTCAGGGGATGAGCAGAGCTTCAGAGACAGAGGTCAGCATTATGGAGAGTGAAGTGCACAAGCAAGAAGAAAAAAGTAAGCGGATGTCTAGAAAAGGTTCAGGAGCAGTAGGAAACTCAGGAGCAAGGAAATACAGGACA